ATCATAAGACCTATTGTATGAATACATGAATATTCTTTAAGACCATATTTACAAGAACAGAAGATTGGAGGTAACATGTTTGAATAATTTAAGAGTCGTGCAGATCCTAACCATTGCTTGAAATGTTCATATGATGACCAAGTCATACTATAAAGACAATTTATCCAAGAACGAATATTCATTTGAGGTTCTTTAGAAGGAACTACAAATGTAAATGCATCTAATTGTAATATTTCGTTCCTATCAACTTTGTTAATCCAATCATAAGCTTTTACATCGAGATCATTATTAATGGTTAAATGTAATTGAAAAGGTTGTTGTACGTTGTTTGTCGACCAATCCACCAGCATTTTTTCTGCAAGTTGTAAAAATGGAGCAAGTGGTAGCTTATTTCTCATAGTATAATGCTGTTTTATACGACCATTTAAACTTTCTAATCCATTGTTACTAGAAGGAGTAAATCGTGCAGCACCTTCATACCAATAACATAAATGTGATAACCATTGTTCACTAAAATATTGTGAAAATTTATTAAGATCTTTATCAGTAGCCCATTTTTCTAACATTAATTTTGCACCAGCAAAAAATACTTGATCATTAAATGCTAATTGTAATTCCTTGATATCTTTTTCCACCATAAGAAATTTTTCTTTATTTTTAATAAGTGATCTATGTTCACGAACCTTTCTTAAAACATGCGGCCAGCACATAAGCCTTCTACATGTCGGTAATTCATTTGAACTAAAAAAAAGAACAAGTTCATAAATGGTACGGCTGTAAATTACTTACACAGCTGCTGTTAAACCAGGAGCACCATCAGCCATTATTACGTTTATTGTATATGGTTGATGATTAGCTGTTGCTGCCCAAACTTGTATACCTTTAAGAAATGTTACAAATGTTTTAGTTGTTTCATCAGTAGATATAAGACATAATCCCATAGGAAAATAACGTCTATTAATATCCGACGTTCCAAAGATTAATAAAGGTAATTCACATGATGTGATTTTGTACGTGCAATCGATAGCAAGAGTGCATGACCATTTACATGTCGACAGGAGTTGACGAGTTGTGATGCAAACAAAAATATTATCAATATTAGTAACCTCGAAAAATGGTACAAAAGGCTACAAAAAAATAAAAACAAAATAAAAGATTTTCGATTAATTCAAACGAATTTACCTGATGTATTTTATCTGGAGGTGGATATGATGCTCTACTAGAACATCATGCTTTTAAATCATCAATAAATGTTATAGAAGAACGAATTTTTTTCTTTTCGTACTGAACAACGTTTCTGATTTTTGTGTGAATTGAAATATCAGGATATATTACCTCCATTATTTTTTGTATTTGACCGATGGTTAAACCTTTCATAGCAAGATCACGAATATTTGAACGAATATCAGTTGGTAAACGTGTATCTTCAAGTAATTCATGTTCATGATGTTGAGAATAAAAAATTTGATAAGTACCATCATGATAGATTTTTGCTTTTAATTGATATTGACATTTGGTAAAAGTCCGATATTGTGAACATCTATATGTTATTGATTCATAATTTTTAAAATTTTCTCTACGATAGACACTGACGTTGTGAGACTTTGTCAAAGACATTAAATCATTTTCACTAACAATTGTTTCATTTATCTCCTTCCACGTCCGTTCCATTCCACCACAATTTGATTTATTTTTAAAGATTTCAGATAAATTTTAAGTATACAATAGAATAAACATTTTTAAATAAACTTTTGTAAACAATGCTTCTTCACAATTCTTTCGTAAATATACATTGTGTCGTCACATGATTCTTTTTTTCTTTTCTGTTCATCCATTGTATGCATCATATACCCTAGTCTATATTACCACATGTGCACATATATAGAAAAAAAAGACCGAGCTCTTTTCCTATATTTTCGTTGTTTTAGCGTTAATGAGCTTTTTTCCGAGCTCATTTTCCCTATAATTGAGCTTGGGAAAAAAACGAGCTCTTTTCCTCATTTTTTGGACCAATTAAGCTCTCCGAGCTCACTTTCCTCATTTTTTCCGAGCTCA